TGTAAACACACCTGTCCTCACTGTAAACACCAGTCGTCACTGTAAACGCCTGCCATCACTGTCAATCCACTGCCATCTAAGATGCTACTAGTGTACATGTCTTGACATCTGCCTTTGTCAGCTGTGGTTGTGTCCTTTCTGTTTTTATCACTTCTCATCTGTGACATCAACTCTGCTCCAGGATGGGGACATGAGAAACAGGTGGAGGCATACTACATCCGTGCGCTCAGCAGACCAGAGCGCATCTACTGCATCACACGTCGGGAGATGCTGGCTGTGGTCCTGGGTCTTTGCAACTTTCGCCCCTACCTTTTGTTCTGCGCACCGATCACATGTCACTAACCTTACAGTTGAATTTTAAAGAACTTGAAGGAGAGCTTGCAAGGTGAACTGAAGTGCTGCAGGAGTACAATTTTGAGGTGAGGCATCGTGCATGCTGCCTACACTCAAACGCAAATGTCCTCTCTAGAGGGATGCCGACAGAATACAGAGATATTTGTTCATCACTGTGACACTTGCACGACACAAAAAAAGGCCAATCTGCTGCTCCCAAGTGCCGCTGCAGCAATACCAGGTTGGTGCCCCTATGGAAAGGGTGGGTGTGGATGTTCTGGGTCCATTTACTGCCACAGACCAGGGGAATTGCTATGTGCTTGTTGCTATGGATTATTTCACAAAATGACCAAAGGCATATGTGGCCCTTGACCAGAGTGCCACCAGCACGGCAGACAAGGTAGTGGATGAGATGTTTGGTGTACCAGAAGAGCTACACTGTGACCAGGGGAAAAACTTTGAGGTTAAGGTTTTCAAGGCAGTGTGCCATTGAATGGGGATTAAGAAGACTCACACAACTCCACTCCATCCACAGAGCAACAGTCTGGTGGAACGCTTCAACAACGCTTCAGCTGGAACCTAACCATACAGTTTGCCATTCTAACAACAAAAACAGTGTGACTGGGACCAACACCTACCCCTGGTCCTGTTCTTATACCAGACTGCTGTTGAAGAATCCACCCAATGTACCCCTGTGGCATTCATGTTTGCCAGGAACTTCGCACTCCAGTGGACTTGATCTTCCATAAATTTGGTGTCCATTTTCACTGTTATACTGATGACACACAGCTCTAGTTGTCAACAAAACCAAACTCCACCCACCCACCCTCCATCCTCACCGACTGTCTCAATGAGCTAAATCACTGGTTTTCTAACAATTTTCTACAACTAAATAGTAACAAAACAGAAATCCTTCTTGTCGGTACCAAAAACTCTATTTCAAAATCAGAACATCTTCTCATCCCCCTTAACAATTCTCTGCTATCCCCCTCGCCTCAGGTCAAGAGTCTTGGTGTCATCTTCGACACCACTCTCTCCTTCACTTCACACATCAACAATGTTACTCGGTCTGCCTATTTCCATCTCCGAAATATTAACCGTCTCCGCCCTTCTCTCACACCCCGCTCTACAGCCATCCTTGTGCACAGTCTTGTGACTTCTCGGATTGACTACTGCAACTCCCTTCTTTATGGCCTCCCCAACAAATCTCTCCAGAAGCTGCAGTTGGTCCAGAACTCAGCTGCCTGTGTCATCACTCAAACCTCCTCTTATAACTACATCACTCCAGTCCTGCAGCAGCTCCACTGGCTCCCAGTTAAATCACGCATCGTCTTCAAAATTCTTCTTCTCACTTTCAAAGCTATCCACAACCTTGCCCCTCCGTACCTATCTGACCTCCAACACATCTCCATCCCCTCTCGCTCTCTCAGATCCTCCTCTTCACTACATCTCCATGTACCCTCTGCCCGCCTCTCCACCATGGGGAGCAGGGCCTTCACCTGCTTTGCCCCTCATCTCTGGAACTCTCTACCCCCGACTTACGAAACACAACCTCTCTTTCTCTATTCAAGACTGTTCTGAAAACACATCTCTTTAGACTCGCTTATCCTTAACTTTGCTTTATGTATTTTATATTCTGTATGTATTTTATATTCTGTATATTTTATATTCTTTATGTACTTTGCATTTTATACTTCCAATTTATTCCTGTTGATCTTTGCACTGTGCTTGTTGTTTGTTTTAACACAGTCTTTCTGATATGTTTCTTACTGTAAAGTGTCCTTGGGTGTCCTGAAAGGCGCTCTTTAAATAAAATGATTATATTATTATATTATCTTTGGATTAACCATGGAGCCAGATGTTTGTGACAGCTGTCCGGGAGTAGCCAACACCAAACAACATCAGTAAGAACAACAATATAAGTTATTGTGTTTAGCCCAAGCTCCACTGCTGCTGTTCCTTTAAACCTTGACTCTCTGGAGCCATATCTTAAGCAGTCTGTTCCAAATCTTGGGATGGTTTTAGACTCTGATTTGTTTTATAAACAGATTGACTCTGTTCTGCAGAAAAGCTTCTTCCATTTAAGGCAAATAGCTAAGTTTAAGTCAGTGTTGACCTACTCTGACATTAATTAAAAAAGGATTGTTTTCATTTGTATAATTTTTCAAATTAATTTCGAATTTCTTGTTAATTTAGGTAATCAACAAAATGCAGATTTTTGTGCTCGAAATTTTTGTCTTTTTTTTTTGCTCAGTGAAGTGGAAAAGGTAATCTAGGGCCATTAGTTGATCAAAAACAACAACAACGATCTGGGCGTGCTTGTCCTCCGGTGCAGCGCTTTTATTTTGAAAGTAAAATACTTCCGGCCCGGTCACCTGTGTGCACCTTGACGCAGTTTTGACGGTCAGTCGGCATGACAACGCGCTCCCGAGGGCAAACGAGGAACAGCTGAGCGGCTCGAGGATGGCAGCAGACAATGTCCAGTAACGGAAACAGCTCCGGTACCGTCCCTGGGAGCGACTCGGTCCAGCTCCCCGCCATGATGCAGAGGGCTCGGCCGGCCACGGTGAAGGTGTCCGCGGTGAGCCTCGCGCTCAGCTCACTGTCCCTGCTGCTGCTGGTCACCGCCATCTCCACAGACCACTGGTACGAGACCGACACCCGCAAACACAAGCACAACTGCGACGGTTCCGACTCGAACGACCAGAAGAACCGGGAGATGCCCATCTACCACCTGCCCCTGCTGGACTCCGGGCCCCGGCAGCGGGACGTGGCGCTCATGAAGCCGGTTCATGTGGGCAGCAGGGAGGAGGAGCTGCTGGAGAACTGGAGGGCCATCCTGGGGATGGGGATCCTGGAGACCGAGTGCGGCAGGCCGCTCTTCTCCACCCACTCCGGACTCTGGAGGAAGTGCTACTTCAAGGGTCTGGACCCAGACATCGACAAGCTGATAGACCGGGGTCAGCGCGTGTGCACTCATATACATGGATGGATGGATGGATAATGGATGGGTGATGGGTGATAGATGATGATTTGGTGATGGATGGATGGACGTTGGATGATGATGGATGATTGATAGATGGATGGATGATAATAGATAGGTGATGGATGATGGATGGATGGATGGATGATGGACAGATGGATGGTTGATGGGTGATAATGATTTGGTGATGGATGATGGACAGATGGATAGTAGATGGATGATGGATGGGTGATGGGTGATAATGATTTGGTGATGGATGGATGATGCATGTTGGATGACTGATGGATGAATAATGGGTGGTTGATGATTTGGTGATGGATGTATGATGCATGTTGGATGTTGGATGAATGTTGGATGAATGAAGCATGATAATGGATGATGGATGATGATGATAGATGATGCATGTTGGATGTTGGATGACTGATAGATGAATGATGGGTGATGATGATAGATGGATGGATGGCTGCATGGATGATTGATGGACAGATGTTGAATGATGATGGATGATTGATGGGTGGATGGACAGATGATGGATGATCAGAATAACAGTTGGATGAATTATTGACAGGCCATCAATATGTACTTTATTAGCTACAAGGACATGTCAGCTGACAGTCAGCTGATTGTTCAGGGCTTGACAGGTGCAGTTTTATGTTCTTCTGTGCACTTTAACGGTACACCTAGATGATGTCATAGCAGCTGCGATGCATCCTGGGAAATGGTGTCAGGTATGTTTCTGCTGTTGTGTTTGATCAATAATACTGATCCAATCTCCAAAAGGCTTTCCAGAACAAACAGCTGAATCTGGTTCTGTTCAGCATCAGATATCAGAACCAACAGGTTCCATTTCAGGTCCCTGAGGAACTGACCCAGGTAGAAGAGGTTCTGACTGATCAGAACCACAGTGTGCTGAATCAAGCTGGGTTTAAATCTGATTTCATTCCACACTGGTTTCACTTTGGTTTTCAACTGTTTTCAAAAGTGATTTTTGTCTGGTTCTGGAATGGTTTTTCTCTGGTTCTGGGTGGGTTTCTGTTGAGCTTTTTGTTTTGGACTGGGTTCTTTCTGGTTGTAGATTTTCAGTCATTCAGAACACAAGTCATAAAACACACCAACCAGACTTCGCAGGTCAGACCTGCACAGTGGAGCTCCAAGCTGCTGAACTCACAGGCAGGTTAACTCTCTCCCCTCCCTCCTGAGGGTTATCAGGGTCTCTGTTAGCCGGACTCACAGACAGGTGTTTGGATCACCTGATCAAGGTGAGAATCGGAGTCAAACTGACCTGAGATCAGAAAACTGAACTCTGAGACCTCCTCCTCTGTTTGTCTCTCCTTCAACCCCCTCTCAGACCACCATCTGTCCTCTCTGTCCAACATCTGGACCTGATGGTCCTCAGCAGAGGGTCACTTGTCCCTGAGGTGCAGGTGGATCTCTGAATCTCTTCGGTGTTGAGCCATGCGTCTGCGGAGAGGTTCTTTAGTTTCTCCAACATGAAGGTCTGATCATTCCAGCAAACACCACACCGCTCAGTCTGGGTTTGGGGGTTCTGTCCTCAGGATGGACCAGCCTCTGTCTGAGGGTTCTGTTGGGTCTAAAATGAACCGGGATGTTGTGTTTGGAGACTATCAGAGTTTCTCAGATCCTCCAGCAACATGTGTGATGATGTTCGTTCTTCTCCCTGTTCTGTGGCGTGTTTTTTTTTTTCATTTCCTCGTTGTCAAAAGTCCAGTTAGGTGTCTTAGTTGGGTCCACAGGTTTGGAGAACTTCTTTGGTGCGGTTCTGTTTTCTGTCCAAACAGTCTAGAAAGGCAGCTTGTTGGTGGTGTCTTCTCTGGTGAACTTGATGTTGTTGTCCACAGAGTTGATGTGTCTGCTGAAGCTTCTACTATGGTCCACGTATCAGAACCAGTGGCTCAGTGTTGTTCCCTTGAAGGAGTCCAGGGCTCTCTGCTCCACTTTCTGCACATAGAGGTTGGACACAGTCTGTGACTCTGGAGATCCCACAGCTCAAAAATTGTCATCATACTTGAAGTAAGAGGTGGAAGAGTCTTCAACCACAAAACCGAAGTCAAGCTGTTTAGTTTGGTTTGGTTTCAGACTGGTGTTAAACAATGTTCAGATTTCTATTAGACTGGTTTCACTCTGGGTTCAGCTTGGTGTTTAATGATGTTCAGATTGCTATTAGACTGATATCATTCTGGTTTCACTCTGGTTTCAGACTGGTGTTCAACGATGCTCACATTGCCATTAGACTGGTTTCACTCTGGTTTTAGACTGGTGTTCATCGATGTTCAGACTGCGATTAGACTGGTTTCACTCTGGTTTTAGACTGGTGTTCAACGATGTTCAGACTGC